GAGACAGATGTAAGCGCTAGATTTAAATTAATTTCCTTCAGACTTATGCACATTTTGACAATATTAGTATCAGGAGAGTAACTTAAGTATAACAGTATATAAAATGCATTTGCTTACTCCAGACATGAAAAAGAAGTACCTAACACAGTGTAGTCATTTTTGGAAATCTGATAGATGACTTTTATTAGAATAAAAGGTTCCATTGAACAACAACTCACAAAGAGATCTATTAAAATGATCTTCCAGGATTTTTGCCAATGAAAAACATCTGGTTAGATTATGGTCATGCAATAAATACTTCTTCCTTCAATAAATCATAATGTTGATGTTCCAATTATGTATTTAAATCTAGCATCATTGCTATGTCATATAAACCAATTATCTTAAGAAGTGAAAATGTCAGTTTATAAACAGTATAAGAAAAAAATAATAACTTCCCACTGAATGTAACATTTTAAATATTTAAGCATTTTAAAAAGAAAATTAAATAGAAAACATTTGAACTTGTTAGCAATAGCAATAGCACTTAGACTTCTTCACAGTGCTTTACAGCCCACTCTAAGCGGTTTACAGAATCAGCATTTTGCCCCCAACAATCTGGGGCCTCATTTTACCGACTTCGGAAGGATGGAAGGCTGAGTCAACCTTGAGCCGGTGAGACTCGAACTGCCGAACTGCTGGCAGCCAGCAATCAGTACTGCGTTCTAACCACTGCACCACCACACCTTTATTATCTGATTAAATGAAGGAAAGAAAATGATCTACAGCAAAATAATCCAGTATAAATCATTTGCCAGAATTACTGAATTTTGGTGTCCTTGGTACTCTCTGAGCTTGGTGGTTTTCATTCAGATGTTTCATTACCAAACTAGATAACATCAATAATATTATAAGGGAGTGGGGTTTGCTCTTATTTTTATATATTAATTGTATATAACATAGTATATAGTGCAAAACCCACTTCTTTCTAGCACTGATGTTACCTAGTTTGGTAATAAACATCTGTAAGAAAAACATCATTACTGAACTTACAACACTGCCACATAACAAGAAGGAATGGTCTAATCTGATCATCAAATTTCCAACCGTTTTTAGAAAATGTCTCACCATATTTTAGCAAACATGACTAGGGTATAAATACATACTATGTAAAATACCAGTTTTCTGCAAGCACAATATGTAGTGTAAATTTAATGCTCTTCTTTCAAAGTAATTCCCATTGTTTCCTGTAGCTGCCTATTTATTAGAACATCTAAATTCTGTATCCATTGATCATATTTTACATATTAGGTTTCTGAATATTGGGAAGAATTTTACTCATGTCATTTTAAAACAAATGCTCTTTGAAATGGTGTACTTTCTCAATCTAAGAGGTCCTTGGTGCTCACTGAGATTAGTTGTTTTCTTGCAGACGTTTCATTACCCAACTAGGTAACATCATCATGCTACCAATCTACTCTGTCCCAATTAATCTGTCTTCAATTCTTTCAATATTTATCAGTCTGTTAATACATACAAATCACAAGGGGGGGCTATTTTGTTTTGACTTGCATTGCTTTTTAGATTTAGTCCAGGCTGTCTGTCTGATTTAATACTTTTATGGATTTTTTGGTTCTATATGCCATCCAGGGTCCATTAGAGTTGGACAGTATAATAAAGTATTAGCATTTTCTCTTTCTAACAATTCAGGTTATGTAATGGTTATTCAGAATGCCTCCCTCCAGTCAATTTTAGCTTAATGAAGAAGAGTAAATCAAAGCAGATAAAGTGGAGACTAGTAGTTTAAAGAAGTAGTAGATCTTCCAAATCCAAATGAGGTCACATTCACCAGAAAGTGCAGACGTGAAGTTGGAAAGTAAGTAGTGGTGGGATTCAAATATGTGAACAACCGGTTTTCTGTGTGGATGCCACTTACAGAAGCCCATTCTGGGCCTCGGCAACAAAAAACTAGCTACCGGTTCTGCTGAACTGGTGTGAACTGGCTGAATCCCACCAATGGAGATGGGTTTTTCTCAGGTTTTGTACATTTGAGACCTTAGCTATGACTAACTTTAACTGACATACCCTTTCTAGAAGAAAGCAACCTTTAAAATGCTAGTGACCTCTAGGACTGACTGCTATAACACACTCTACATGCCTTTGCATCTAGTCACAAAACTTTTGATGATACAAAACTCAGCGGTCAGGATGGTTTCTGGAAAAACTCAAAAGAGCCACATTAAGACTGTGCTTAAAAGCACACACCAGCTGCCAATTTCCTTCTGGCTGAATTACAAAGTGCTGGTTATTAGTTTTAAAAACCTAAATGGCTTGTGAATTTTTTTTTCTACAGCTCACATTATCTGAGGAAGTTTTCCCTTTTATTTAAATAATATTTTTATTGAAATTAAAAAATTAAAAAACTAATACAAACTAATAAAAATAGGAAAAATGAAAATAAAAAATAAGAAGTGCAAGGAGAAGGAAAAGAGGGGAAGAAAAAAATGTTAAAAAAGGGGAAAAAATTGTAACGAAATGACTTCCCCTTTCATCAAGACAAGTACAATTTCCATAATTTATCACCTTCTCTAATATTTTAACCTAAAATATCTTTGTATTATACCTCATTTTTTATTTATTAGCCAACAATGAAGCTTCATTATTCAATCTTAATCCAGCAAATTGAAATCCATACATCCAAGTCACTGTTCTGATTTATTATTTGTTTATCTCTTTTAACTATTAAAACAGCAACTGGTTTCATTTGTAAATCCATATAACATCTTTGTCAATATCATTCTTCTCACCTGTCAATTTTAAATACATATCCAAAACAGCCTAATACTCAGTTTTATCCTCTTCTCTTTTGAGTCCATTTTTACAGAAACAAAGTTCTGAGTGCACTGTTGCCAAAAAATGTTGAATTTTTCTAGAGTTAAAATACTTTTCTCTGTTCTGTATTAGTGGGACTTCTCTTTTAATTATAATCTTTCTAGCTGCTTCTAGTACCCAGCCTTCAAAGTCTCAACACGTTTTTCTCTAACCCATATTTTCCCAGAAAAAGATTTCTTACACTTAAATTCAAAATATTCATATATTTTAATAAATTTTTAAACAAACCACAACACATTCTTACAATTATTTCATTATCTTGCTTCTAGTGAATCCCTTAATCTATTTAAAAGTTTTCCAAAATCAACATTCTAATCACTCTTTTGCTAATTATTTCCAAATAAAAACCGGGTTATGTTCTTCAACTTACATAAAACCTCTTTTGCTAAGAATTGAAGGAAAACAGTACAGTGTAATAAAATCGGTCCTTCTGAAGATTCTCAATATCCAAAAGAAATTTACAAACCATATCCAGTGAAAGTGATTAAGAAAGAAAGCCGACGAACTCAGTGTCTCTTTTGAAGGCTCCAAACCACTGCTTGGGCAAAACTGATTCTCCCAGCTCACAAAGCTAAACCCATCAGAGATTGTTTTATGGGAGGGAGCATCTATATGATGCACTATGGGTGATCCCAGGTCCTCTTCTTAATCCAGAGAGGAGTTTGGGGAACCAACTCATTCATCAACTCCTCTTTTCACCACAGTCATTAGCTCCTCACTCTAGCAAAACTGTCCTGAGTTTGCCATGCTTCCTGGAAGAAGTTTTCCTATAGTTGTCATAATTGTTTTAATCTTTAAACATGTTTCTACTGAAATCACTAAGAAAATTCATATGTACTTATGATAATTTTCTCAGCCTGCTGCATATATTTATTTTATACTGTTTTTCATTATTTTAGAATTGTTTACTGCCCAGATTGAAATGGACAGCTATGTAAAATAAAATAAATGGTTTATCTAAAGCAGGCATGTCAAACCCACGACGTCACGTGACGTCGTGTGACGTATCGGAGCTTTTTCGCCATTGCCGGCAATGGGGTGGGCGTAGCTCCGGTATGATGAAACCGGCCCGCGGGCCGGCAGTTTGACACTCCTGATCTAAAGCAATGAAATTGGGAGGGGGAGCTTTTATTATTACAGTAATCGCGGGTAAAGAAATTTTAAAAAAACCATAGAAAAGGAACTATTTCTCAGACTCAGGCTTTCATTTAAAATTCTCAGGCTTTCATTTAAAATGTTCTCTGAAGGTATTCCTTTAGAAAGAAGACTCCATTGGGGGATCAAAATTAATTGCTAAATTTTGAAAATATTTGCAAAAAATTGAAACAATATCCTTCTTTTCATCATTAGTTTTTATTTCTTAAAAAATATAGGGTTTTTTTCTTTAAAAATATTTTATAATAGCTAATGGAGTAAATATTTTTACACAGCTCAGAAAATATTTTACAAATATGTCAATTTTAATTTTTATTATGGGAAATATCAATAAATGTAACCCATACAAAAAAAACCCTCTTGTTGGGGTCTTTTGGGAGTTTTAAAAGTGGGACCCTACTCCAGATGTTTTCACTTGAAGAAACCGAAAAGAGAGCAGTTTCTGTTGAACACCAAACCCATTGCTTGCTATTATATACTAGACAAAATCTGTTCTTTTTCTATGCCTTTGGTGATGTATGCTATATAATTTTATTTTGCAATTCCTTTGCTTTATAGAGCTATTTTGTTGGTAAATAAACTACTGTTTCATCTGCTTTTATTTGATATATTAATATACTCTTTTATCATATTCCTACTTTGCATGTGTATTGTCTGTTTAAAGATAAGGATTTGACCTAAAAGATGGCCTTCCATTTACACCAATTCCCCCTCTGTCTGCAAGCTCCTTATCATATCCATTTGCAAGAGGCCTCCACTCCTGTGAAACTGAACTATACAGGGCATAAACAGGAACAGTAGTAGAAAAGCCTCAGTAAGAACATTTTAAAAAGCACTGCTGAATTAAATTAAAGGGCATCCATGTAGTTCCACATCCATTTTCTTACAAGAGCCAATTAAATTTCTGTGAAAAGCCCATAAAATGAAATGTCATATAACAACATTCAAAATAGCGTGTTTCTCTTGTTACCTACCCACTTTTGTTGTAATGCTGCTCTTTATCTTTCCCTCTGAATCTTTCCTTCTCCCTTGCTTTCTCTTTATCCCTGCCTTTACGTCTTTCTTTCTCACGAGACCCACTATGGGTTCTCCTGTGACTAGTTCTTTCGCTGCTGCGACTGTAGGATCGTTGTTGGGGTCTGGAATGTGATCTATAATTAGAAAAATCAACAAAAAAACATGTAAAGCAACAACTACGAAAAACAATTACAATAATTTTAATAGTGATATACACTTATGCTTAGACCTAGTTTGTTCATAAACACGTATTTTTTAAAAAGATGCAAATAAAAGTTAAGTATGTGGGGGGAAAATCTAAAAGAAATTAATCAAGCACGAGGGACCAAGTACATCACAAGCAGGGATTTATCATTTCCTTCAAAACATGGAGAAACAAGAACAGTAACCTGTACCAGATTCTCATACCAAAAGAAGCTCCAGAATGATCCAAATGAACCAGTGTTAAAAGAATATTGTTCATAAAGGAATAAAAAAGCACCCAAGCACAAAAATATTTTGACTATATCCTTAATTCAGATTTTTCAAACTGTGTCCATGGAACCCTATGGTTCTGTGCAAAAGAAAAGAAAAAAGAAAAGAAACCTTTAGAAACCTTTAAATATATAGCCCATTTTCTATCACCGGAGGTTTATCTTTTGAACAGGGGTTCTGGGAAGGGGTTCTACAGCTTGAAAATGTTTGAAAATCCCTTAGTTGATAACGGGAGAAGTTCTCATCTTCTTTTTTTCTCTCTTCCTTTTTACAGCATCTATACTCCTTCTGAAGCCTGCCTAGAAGAGTAAAAGCTAATCCTGAACTATACGAGATATGCAGTGAAAACACAAAAATAGGAGAGCTGCATTTAGTTTGGGACAATACTCCCCTCTGCAGTTTTGTTTCTTGTTAGAAGGTTACTGTTGATAACTTGTCTTCTTTTAAGAACATTTTTTTCTAGTCTCCTAGATTGGATCACATGAGATACTAAGAACAGCAAAAAAGGTGTTTTGAAATACCGTATGTACAAAGTAAAGGAAAACGAAAGAAATCAATATACTGGTTTCTCATTAAATGGAATAAAATGCTAATAGCTAACAAAAATGAGAAACTAACTCAGCTCCTATTTTGCTCTAATAGAAAGATGCGCTTTTCATCAGGCAATTGCAAAGAATGGAAAAAAGTATGGGATTGATAGAAATATGGTCAGGGAATCTATATTTACTTTGAGCAAACTCAAACTACCTTTAAAGGACAATATGAAGCTTTTGGCTGCTAGTTTAGTAAAGTATTTCTTTAATACCTTATAAAGATGTGCCAAGCAATAGGAAAAGGGCAACTGTTTCCTTATTTTACAAGAAAAAACAAACAAAAAATGCTAAACTGGACATTTGTAGTAATATGGGAATGAAGGGACAATGCCTGAACCTACATCTGACAGACATAGCAGAGGAAAGAAAGAGATGGAAAAATTGAGGCCAGTGACTCAAACATCAGCTGCAACTAAGGTATTGGTATAAGTTATATAAGCGGTGCGGATGTTGTGCACCAGTTTTCACCTACCGGTACTTGCTATTTAAAATCACTCTAAGATAAGCCAGATTTTGTTTGACTAAACCCTGGAATAAATCAAGTTGTGATTCTGTCAAATCACAGCTCATCTGAAACAGTTTGGTAAAAGAACGCAAGTCCAGGTTTTGCAAATCAGGGTTCAAAACAGCATTCATGCACACGCCCACTTGAAAACTATTTAGAACTTCAGAATTGTAGCACTTCAGAATTGTTCACTCAGCGGTGCTTCAAATCGTGTTGGAATATGAATGTAGCATTAGTCTGCAATTCTTGAAAGCAGTCATAGTCTTTCCTGGAATCACATAACAGGTACAGAGACCATCAGGGCAATCCCAGGGAAAAAAACCAGTTGCTTCAGAGTGTTGCAGACAGATGCTAGGTCCATATTCCCATTCATTCTGAAGCATCTTTTGGAAACTGAATTCAAAGCTCTACATAATTTTTTAGATTAGCCAGTCAGCATGATTGTTTCTACCCATCTGACCCAATCAGGTAGGATAGGCATGCTTCAGGTCCCACCAACCACAGAATGTTGTTGGGGCCTAGAAGATGTGCCCTTTTCTGCTGTGTTACCCAACTCATGGAACATTTTACCTATGGAGAGCAGGATGACCCTGACCCTTCTAGTCTTTTGTAAGGCCCTGAAGACCTGGTTCTGGGCTGGGGCTGGAGTCCCGAGAGTCTATAGCGACCTACTTCTTGGTTATGCTGGTGACTTGAGTTGATCTGCTCAGCCACTGTGTATTTTAACTTTCGTGATGTTTATAATGGTTTTATTTTATTTTAACTCTGTTGTACAGTCACTTGTTGTGATGGCTAGGTAAATTGGATGCATGGATGCATGGATGGATAATCAAGTCTCACCTGGTTAGATTAGCCTCATCTCATCTGATAATGAGACATTATCTCATTAAATAGATACCTCTCGATTTAAAGTATTTAACAAACTGTAAGAATTTATATTGTATTGATCAAACATCACTACCAGCATTGTGTTCAGTTCGGGACACATACTGCAAAAAAACAGTCAGATTAATTGAAACAATTTCAAATGGGGGAATTCAACACTGGAGGTGGCTGCTGGATTGATGGCAGATTCCATCTCGCCCCCTTGCTCTCTGCTCTCCACCCGTCCATTTTTTTGTTATCATATTAATGTATTCTCATTTTCTTTTTCAGTGTTTAGTTTATTGTCTTATTATTTTATTTCTGTTTTGTTTACACTCTCTTCATTTCTTTCTTTTTATTGTTTTAAGCCTCCTAGAGTAGTCCCACAGCAAGATAGGTGGTAAATAAATTTAACAAATAAATAAATTTCAAAGAAGGCAAAGAAACTGATCAGGCATATGATCTGATCTAGGCAAATCCAATGCAGAAGGAATGAAATCACTGGGGATGTTTGCCTTGATATAAGTTACAAAAATTCTGGATGAATGTTTATGTAGTATTAAAAAAATCCCAATTATTATTTTTAAAATAAAAATGGCAAGCTATTTAGCTATAAAAGTAGCATGGTGATTAGGAATGATCCATCAATGGAGAACATTACTGTATCTAACTTATAGAGCACACAGATGCTTGGCATCGTTTAGCATCTCTAAATATTGAGACCATATAAACAAGATTCCACTATCTAAACTCATAAGCGATCTCTTTATTTCTTGAGCAATTTGCACACATATTTTTAACAAGGCTGCAAATATTTATAAAGGACTATCCAGTTATTGTACAGCAGGTACTAATTTGCTAATTTCTTCACAAGTAATTAATTGAAATATTAAATATTGAATAAAGTATCTTGCAGTAATTTTAACATCTGCTCATAAGCATAATTGGTTTTGCAAGAGCCTTATGTGATCCAAACACTAACTAAGTTGAAACAAATAAAACAGATTTTAAAACAGGTTTGAGAAAATGTGCATCTAATTAGCAGGTAGGCATCACAACTGCATAACATTTTATACATTTGTATTTATGAAGTAACAGAAGATCTAAGAACTTTTTAAAATGGCGTTTATTGTTCAAATAAGACTGTGCTGCATACTAAAGTGATTTAAATCCTTATAGAGCTGCTTTGAAAAAGATCATAAATGGTGAAAGAAAACATGTGGAAAACTGTAAAACTAGAAAGAATTTGCGACAAAAAACAGATCCGCATTCCATAACCAAAAGGAAACTACACTTAATTAATGCACACTACATCTGCAATATCAGTCTAATAAAGAGTGAAACTACTAATTTTCATTGTTCTGTAGTGATTGTGGTCATTGTCATTTAACATTCATCCAACAATATTATACTAATAAAATAAAACTTTCATTAATCTTTTTTAAAATACTGCAATTTAAAATTTAACCTATATACAGTTTTCAGAAAGGATCTTTTTCCTCTGTTTTAGAAGACAGATTAAGTAAGTTATACTCACTAGAAAACAGAACCAATTCAACTCCATGCTGAAATTTTTCAAATTGCTAGTATGCTATATTTTGAGAATCAAATTTATCAATAACAACATTTTGTCTAATAGCAGCATAAGTTATTAAAGCTAAACAAAGATCCCATTGTTTTCAAATAATGGTCATTACAAACTTACTAATTAAGAACAAAATAGTTCAAAATTAGACAACAGTTAAGAGAAAAGAACTGACAGAATTGCATTTTTTTATTCAGTGGTGTATCTGCAGCTATCTCATATTGTTCAATATAAAATTAATCATATTGAATGAATTCAAATTTGGTTCAAAAGGTTCCACTTTCATAAACCTATGCTTAGCACACCAGTGGAATCTGGATTGGTCTGGAGAAGAGGAAAGTAACATATCAAATGTGTATGCATTTTTACTGAACGAAATTCCATACCAATATTATTGTTAAGACACAGTATCACACTGTTGAAGTATATATACCTTTTACACAATCCAGTCTAGATAAATGAATTCTTTATTCCATCTAGTTTATACATTTCTTAAGTCTAGCCACCAAACCTAAGATGGTTTCCAAAGAACTGATATTTTAACTATTATTGGAATCTTACTAGAATTTCTCAAAATCACATTCAGATTTATTGCAGAATGCATAATAAATAAAATGTGTAGACTATTTAATATGAAATGTTATATAATTTCTGACACCACACTATATGTAATTTACTGTGTTTTGCTTGCCAAAACTCAGCCCATTAAAAAATTAATGAAACTAGAGATTATTTAATATTTTCCATGGTGCATATTGAACAGTTTATTTGCTCCATCCATCCCAGGATAATTCCCCTAATTCAGTTCCCTTATCTAACCCCATCAGTGATGTCTTGCTTTGTTCAAAAAAGAGAGTTCAAAGCAAAAACAAGACCTGAATTTACTATTATTTAGCATTTACCCAATGAAAAATCCCTTGTTAGAAAAGTCTATTTCCCATACTAGCCACTCAAGTGTTTCATGACACCCATGAAGACAGCATGAAAGCAACAGTAGTTAAATATTTAAAATGGCATCTTTATACACTATTCATAGTAGCCTTGGGTGAGATAGGAGACTTTATAAATTTGATAAATAAATAATTTACTCAATATACATCTCCCTTTATCTTT